GGCTTTTTAATGGGAAAGTGCTCATCCCGGTGAACTCTTGCCTCTCAACTTGATAACATGAAGAGCTCCAGATGCTGAGCTATCACTTACTGGAAGATAACTTCAGCCTGTCGTTAATGTTTGTAATTATGATGCTAATCTTCTGGCAACAAGAGTTTCAGGTGGAGTCTTTATTAGTAGCCTGACATCTTCACGATCGTTTTTCCCTAAGGTATGGATGTGGCTCAAGGGTTGAAAGACGTGCTTTGAAGCGCCACTGGCCTCGTCTCCATAATATTTGTGTTCTGCTGAACATTAGGGGGAAGAACCGAAAACTCAAACAGAGAAACGAAACGTCGGGTCAGTAATAAAGACCCCATTTAAAAACCTCGTTGGCAGAAAAGCATAATTCGCGCCTGTGCGTCCATGCCGACCGGCCGCTCGATCATTGATCGGTCCACTCTACCGGCCCGGCATTTACATTATTCCATTCTACTTCTGTTTTCCTCATCCGAACTTCATTGGAGCTGCGCTGTATTCGGCCTTACCTGGAATATGGCTGTTCTTTTCTATGCCCACTGCGCCGTCAGCGCATCGAGTTCGGATACGTAGATAGTTGAGAGCATCTGCGTGGCGCGGTTCGGTTTCCGGTGAGGAATTTATTTCCACATTCGAAGGTTAGCTTACATTCTTTTTTTTCTTGTCTTCTCAACATTAATTCCTCTTGTATGGTACTCTAGCTGCACTGAACATCCCGCTGTCTTCCGTGCGTATTCGGGATCGACCAAAAAAGAGACCATCATGCATTGATCTCTCGTCGACAGAAGCTGCCGAACAAGTTCGATAACAATGTGACCCTTCTATAGCAAGATCAAACGTTACCGCAGCACCTACATTCAGTGCTCGCCATCCATCTCGAAGATCGTAATTATCTCCAAGCCTTTCGTACCGCAATAGGGAACTTGCGGAAGAAGTGTCCTTTCTCAGAGCACAGACTGCCGAATGAAATCAGTTATCGCTAAGTCCTGCTCCATTTCTGATCTCTCACATTCAGGATGTAGTTGAAAGTGATGCTGATGTTGTGAATTCATCATCATCATCTTTCGATGAGATTGAGCGCGAACGCTCCGTTGTTGCAGTTGGTTCACATAAGAGTTGTGCTCCTTTGCTTAGTGAACGTCTAGTTAGTGATATCAATTTTTTGAGACGTGTATTCGATTTCCTCGAAATTGATTGTTCTCCTGTTACCGCCTACCGGATGGGCCGCCCCGATTCTCCTTTCTTCAAAACTATTGAAAGTTGTCTCACCCTCGTCCTTTCATTCGAAACAAATTTTACGCTGTGCTTCCCGTTCAGGCACTTCTAGACTCCAACAATATATGGGGGTGGCCAAAAGAAAAAAGACACTTCGCTCATGGCGCACATCATCGAACTTTTCGTCGCACAGGGTGCCGGTGTTGATGAACGTTTTACGGTAAAATATTCCTAAGGTGTTCCCCCGTAAACGGAAGCAGGCTCACTGTCCCCGCCGTCTTTAGGATATGACGTCATCTTCCGCCACCGTCGAGCTCAACGAGGCTTACCGTAATCGCTCCGGCTTGAAGCTGCTTCATAATTTCTTCAGTAGATTAACTGCTTAATAGCTTCCTAGAGACATTAGCTGTGACTGTGCAAAACCACTTTTCACCAGCATTTGGCGGACGTCGTAATGGTCTATGGTACTCGTCGACCCCGTTGAGCTCATACTGCGAACCATGTTTCCGTGTAAAAATCTTCTGATGTCGTCGGTATAGAAGGCTATCATGTAAGGTTTAGATAGAATAGAAGGTGCCCTCCAATACTGAATTGGAGGCAGCCGATTTGATTTTAGAAAAGTGTGATTAATGCTGTCCGAAATTTGGAGTCAAGTGTCTCTTTTTTTTGACCACCCCTGTATATCAGGCCTTCCCTTACTAGGGAGGCGAGGAGTAAAGAACGTGCTATCGCCTTGCACGACGTAATATGTCAACGTCTAAGCCAGCTCAGTTACAAAACAATCGTGTCTCTCCTGAACCCATTAAGATTTCTGATGCTAGTATTCACGCAGTCACCACTCTTATGAAGCAATCTGATCTTTGAACTCTTAAGCACTCCCCAGAATCTTGAACATCGTCTACATACTGTGTTTTTATTCAAGTGTTCGATCTGTTCGTGAAAATGATTCCGGCCCTTCATATCAAATCGCTCAATTTGATTTCGATATCATTGCTTTTCCGAGACGTCGCTTACTGGGGACGTCGACTGGTCGACTGGTTTGAGAGCCGTTGGCCGCAGTACGAGGTGGTCACGTGTGACCTTTCTCAAAAGGCGGTAGTGTTGCAATTATCGTCAACAAACCTCTCTCCATTCCAGGTTTTTTGTGTATCGAACCCAAAATCGTACGAGATTTTATGCTTATACCTTACAGCACGGAACATTACTTTTCGCTTGGTCACGTATTACAGGCCCCTTTCTCAACAGATGTTAATACCAACCAGCTATTCAAAGCAATTAGTGACCTCAATGCTGTCGACCGCTGTTGTTTTATCACTGGGGACTTTGATCTGACCGATATTAACTGGTTTAATCTCTCTGAGGTCAGTAAATGCACCACTATTTCCAAGGCATTTACTGACTTATGCAGAACCCACTCACCCCACACGTCAAAGGCCTTACGTTGGGGGTAACAATATCCTTGATTTGGTCTGAAACAGTACCAACGATCTGATTCTTAATTTGGCTGTCACTGCCCGCATGAAACTAGCGACCACAATAGCCTTGTTTTCGATCTGAATCTTCTCGTGGATAAACAGTTATTCGTTAGAAAAAGAAATTTCAAATTTTTTAAAAGTTTTCGAAAATGGTAACTATAAGCCATTCAAAGATACTTCGCTTATATAGACTGGTATCTTCTTCTTCTCCCTAGCGTTAGTCCCACGCAGTTGCAGGGTTCGCTGTCTTTTCTAGTCGTCGCCACTTCAATCTGTCCACCGCTTCTTTGGAACTCCGCGCGGTCGCTTGCTTTGCACTTCGAAGCCCATCGCTCGTGATGCAGTCCAAGTTATGGTGCATCGGCCGGATCCCAAATCCCTATTCCAACCGCTCATCAGGATCTACTACCTCAAAAAACGGAACTGGATCTCTGCACCTTCTTTTCTTACTTCGAGGTAAGTTATTTAGCATGCGAATAACGTACCTATCGTACCCTTGGGCAGAACATCTTCAATTCCGTTGATCTCGTTCTTCTACCCTTTTCCTTTTCTATGTTCTTTTCTATGTTCTCCCTTCCCTTTCTCTTGTGGCCACATTAAAAAAAAAGTCCAAGAGCCAATTCAATTTATATCGGAGATATACGGAAAGTGATTCGCACTATTGCAATCCATGAAAATATCGAGAGGAGAAGACTCGTAGAAAACCCGGTGGCAGTCCGATAGTCTGCCCAAGAATTCATCGAGAGGAGAAGACTCGTAGAAAACCGGTGGCAGTCCGATAGTCTGCCCTAGAACTTAACGGAAAGAGTATTTTCTCGGAACCGTGAATGCATCCCGACACGACTGGCCAAGGATGTGTAAGGGATTACATATTATCGGACGGACGACTCAGACGTAATCCAAATAAAACACATTCCGAGAACATTTATATTCCCAAAACATTCAATCACAACGTATATAAAGACACGGATGACTCATTTTCTGTTCCGTTGTGCTGTATCAGTACGACCTTCTCGACGCTCTCGATCGCTTGCTCGCACCTTTCGGTTGCAGTGCTAACGCAGGGTGCGAGTAGGAAACCATTAAATTCAAAATAGAAGAGGCTCATACTGACAGAACCTATGCAGGAGAAATCAAACCTTATACGAAACGACAATTTGGCTTTATTGAGGCAGAAATCACACAATTTTCTTTCACACCAACTGCAATACTTAATAAACGATTCATTACCAATTGCAAGGCGACAGCCTACCCTTAAACGATGAAGTCCAATTTAGTTATGCCTGCACCTCCAATCCCCAACATGAAAATTCATCCCACTCCTGCATAATAACTGACACCTGCAAATGTAATCCCGCAGAAAATTCAGTGAACTGTTATTGTACCCATAATAACATTTCTCAAATCCAAAACTTACAGAACCTTCCACTACCAATTGCAAATGGTGTTGTTACCGCGGGAGCTAAAAAACTTCCGAAAATTCATACTTCTGCTATTGCTGTGGAAATGGCTATACGCCTGACTACTACCCCAGCTCAAATTCAGCAATACATCACAGAATTCAATTGCAACGTTATTCCAAAGTCTTTGACGGGTTGTTATAACTGCGTCAAAGGCGCAACTATAACCATTTCATGTTCCGCAGACGCTGCACAGGCCACAGCACAAGTGACCTGTGCCACTCAACAGTTCGTGCTAACCTGCACAAAGGAAAGTTATGAGAACAAGATACAGCTGTTTTTCACCAGTAAAAGAGCAATGCCGCGTTCAGTGCAGCAAAGACATCATAGTATTCAAAATAGGAGGAACTCTAAACTACATTAATGGCATAAGACCATTTTCAAAGTTCACCAAGCTTTTTCTTAATACAACCAGCAATGAAAACTCAATCGAGATTGATTTCCAATTACCCGATACATCCCATTTCTTCGACATCTGTAAACAATTCTACATCTATACAGTAATCGCACTCCTCCTCCTTGTCAGCACAATTCTAATCAGCGCAACGCATCTTTGCCCTTTCACCAAGAAGCCACGAAGAGCTTTCCCAACCATGACATTTGCCTCCTCATTCGCTTTCTTGCCGTTGCTCCTAGTCACAACCCTTCTCCGCCTTTGCATCGTTCCATTCAAATTCTTGATTCGCATAACGGTCCATATTATTTCATTAGTACTAAAGACTTCACCACATCGTTCTATATAGAGATTGGCATAATTCTTATCTCATTCTTTCCGTCATATATACCCGTAGCTAGATACTTAATACAACTACTTCACAATTCAATTACAGACATGATTGATGAACCGCGTGAGGATAACGGTGATGTTGACGGGAAGACCCCGCAAGTAGCTGGTGCAGAAGCAACTCCAGACGACCAGCAAGAAGATCAACATTCCATCATCAGAAAGAAGCTCACCCAAATCCAAGTAAGGACAGTCGACATCCCATCTATTAAATCCAAAGTGGAGAGTACCCATGTAAGTTCATTTCTTCTTTTAACTGATATTAAATATGCTCTAGTTGAGAATACCAAAAAAAAAGGAAATTTCAATTCAATTTTGTACCTTTGCTCAAACTAAGCCACCTGTTTAAGGAACCTAAAGAAAGCGCTCAAAAAGACCAAAAGCGAAAAAGGAAGTACACATCACCACCACATTCTGGGGAACCTACACCTAAACGAGATACAAATAGTGTTGAGGTACAAAATACTAGAACTTCAATTCCCAGTCCAATTTCAACCGTTCCTTTTAGGGTGCAGTTCATACGACAGCTCAAAATGTAGCGGCAGTAAAAAACTTGGTGGAAGATATCACAGAAGATCTTGACCATGTCCAGAACTCCAGCTACAACTTGGAAGAGCTCGTCAAAGAGATGAATGAACGCATGATGGATCGGTTCGACCACGTTATGGAATTTCGAGTGACCATGGTGCAGAGCATGGACGAATGGAAAAATGGTCATCAAGTACTCGCTCGCCAACTGGACGCCCTCCGTCAGCAACAAGCGACCGCGGCTGAAGAACAAGGTACCTCTTCATCCAATGCGTGCCCCTTCTGTTCTGGGCCGCATAAGGCATGGGATTGTACCCGAGTGACTAGACTTCGTGAAAGAAGTAGAATTCTTGAGAGGGATGATAAATATGAGCGTTGTTTGCAAAATGCTAATCATTTGGTAACATCATGTAGGAAAAAAAATCCTTGTTATTACTGTCTCAACGCTAAAAGGGGAACAGAGATGGCTGGACACCACTCTGCGTTTTGTCCCCTCAAATTTCAGTTTTGAATTCAGTTTTCTCTTGATCCCAATTTAATTCATTTGAATACTTGTTTACTAACACAACGTGTCATAACACGCAATTTTCCTTTAAAGGACGAATTTACGATGGAAAAGCAACCCATTCTAAATTGCGGTTAGAGAGTGTGAGTAGTACCAGAAAGAAAGCGAAACCACGAAAAACGGCCAAGAACCGGAGAATGAGACCCCTTCCATGTCCTTTGATTGAGCATTGATGGGACTCTCATCGCTTTGCCCTCTTCAACCCTACGCTATCTCAGCTATCTAATCACTCGCCACCTATTGTACTACGGCAAGAGATCAGACGATCGGTGGCGGAGATCGCCGACCTCGCCAACTTTGAGCCATGCTAGATCTCAGAGGTCAAATCTTTCGATGCCGATTGCGTGTCTGTCCGCACCCTCAAGAGATTCACCGCTCTCCCCACTAGGCGATTTCTCCCCTTCTTCGACCTTCGTTCTTTCCGTGCAATCCTCCTTAACATGTAATTATTTCCTATTTCTTTTATTTGATTTGACTCAACTTATTTTGGTGCCTTATCATTATTCTCTTTGCATATTTCATTCACTTACCATTACAATATGTTCAATCGCTTAATATTGACTCTGAACCATGATTTTCTCCTTTCTGATTGTACTGTCGTTATTAAATCTACTGTTTTTATCTGAGGCCTTCATTTTGTCTGTGCAAAAGGTGCTTTTCTTGCTTATTACTTTTCACTCAACACTTTTACTTGTATGCCTTTCTTATAAATGATAGCTTTGTAAGCCATATAAGCTCTGATATCACTAAAGCAATCAGCATTAACCTTTTCTTTGTCCGAAATTTAATACAGTACATTCTATTACGCCATACTTTCTCTTTGCGGGGAGGATGCGAAAACTCATGAGTGAGATCCTGGCGCATGACCGTCGCGCTTCGGGAGTGTCGTGAACCTTCGGGTCACGATTTGTCTTATCGCTCCGGGCAAAGTACGCCGCCCACGAAAGAAGGCGGGCAGTCTTGGACGGCTTGCAAGGGAATGCTTCGGCGACCCCAGAGTGAGGACGGTCATTTTTTTTATGTCGTTTTCATGTCGAAATTACGTCTGTGTTAGTATGACGGTAGCGGACCCGCGAGAACCCATTCCAAGTTCAAGTGATACAATCAATAGGGAGTTCAAATCCAATCCATCTATTCCTTTTCTTTCCTTACCTTCATTTACCCCATTTACTCTTGTCCTTCATTTAACCGCATTTATTTGTTCGATTGACACTCCTTATATCTTGGTCGATTAGTGCTTTTGTATCCGTTTATGTAATGGCTTCGTAGTTTCATTTACTCAATAAACATTATGTAAAAACGAGGTGCCTCAAAGAACCACCAAAATCGCACTTGGAAAGTGATGCAGTCCAAGTTAGGTACTCTCCGAGCGCCTTCCATGCCTCGATTGGCACCCCATCTGGTCCAACCGCATTTCCAACCTGCCAAGTGCACACCTAACCTCATTTTCAGTCTAGAGTGCGATGGGACCAGCTATGGCCTCTGCCCGTGAGTTGTTCTTGTGGGGAACTCCTCGTTTAGAAGCCCCGTTAAGCAGCCGGCCCCGTCTTTCCACCTCCTCTTGACTTTGGTTGACTTCCTTAGGGTGAACCATCGCTGCCTTTTACACTCTTCACCACCTGATGTTTTGGGTAGCACGATGCCGGGCCTTAGCCAGCATGAAGACAAACTTCTCTGCGTCTCTGCTTTCCAACTTCTCGTACAATGCGTCCATATCTGTGTTCTTAGCTCTGGCGACAGCAACTCTTGCAACTCTTGTATGTAGCGAGGTCTTCGAGGCTCCGAGTCTTCTGCCAGCGCTTGTATGCTTCCTTCTTCTGCTTCACGACTCGCTGGACCTCCTCGTTCTAGAACCATGCTCCCCTGCCTCCTCTGAATCCACCTCGCTTCTCGCCCAGGACATCCTTGGCACATCGCAGGATGGTTTCAGCCGCGTTGCCCCAAGTCCGCTGTATCGGCCCGTTAGGATCTGGGAGACCGAGCTCCATTATCTTTCGCCTAAGGTCACATTTCTCCGCTTAGTACAGCTTCCAACACGGATTCTCCTCTCGGTTCTTACCCTTGTCTTCTTGGGGAGGTCTATTGCAATGTCTGCCAGGAGGGGCCTGTGCTGGGGAGCCAGATCTTTGTTGGGTAGTACTTTGATATCCTTCACAGTTTTGAGGGCTGATCTTCTCACCACAGGTCCATTTCCGTCTGTCTCCCTCCACTGCTGTAGGTTACCTTTTGAGACTCCTTTTTCGCGAAGAGCGTGCTGCAGACTGCCAAGTCGTGGGCTGTAGCCAGGTCCAGAACCCTCTTTCCCTCATCGTTCCTCGTTCCTATTGCTCTATCTCCGTGGATCCTTTCTAGGCCACTTCTGTCACTGCCGACGTGACCATACAATTGACCTGCCATGGTCAGGTAATCATCTTCCGGGAAATTTCTTATGGATCTGTCCGGGCTCAGATAGAACTCCCTTCTCACTGTCGGGGTATCCTGTCTGCGGTGCCTACACGGAGAGTTGTGCAGTCCCGCTCTTTCGTGTCCATTTATTTTAGTAGAGCTTGACACCTTTCGATTTCCCTTGTCTTGATATCTTTCCATCGCGTCTCCCAAAGACAGAGGACTTACTGACATATTCCTTATTCCGTCATCAGGTCAGCAACCTTTCGGGACTTCCCAATTAGCGATTTTACGTTCAGAGTCCCAATCCGAAATAACTTCTTTGACCGAAGCCGTTCACTCCTCGGTAGGCCTCGCATACTGACCATAGAACTCGGTCGGGGTTCTGCGCGCCACTTCCGGGTGAGGTCCTGGCTTTACCACTGATTCCTTTTTCGACTTTAGACATATTTGTTGTGACGAGAGGTCTTCATCAGCCGGCCTGTCAGCCTGGGCCTGACGCTGGTACTGGAATCATGTTTGCAATTTTTAAGGCATGGATGAGAGCCTCGGCAGAGATCGAACTCGCGGTATTCAGAGGTGCAGACATGAGTCTAACCTCTTCACCACTCGGCTATCCCTGCTTGGATATGGACTGGTATGGCTCTTTCAATTCTATCCGATCAGTCAATGATATATTAGGTTGTCGGAAAAGTCTTTGACCATTTCGATCTGCACATTGTCAAATCTTTAGCGGTAATTCTTGAACACTTTTTGTGAAACTCATGTAAGTCCTAGTCAACGATCTCTTCATAGCATTTCTGTCGTGTTCTCTCACAGAGATTCTGGCTGCGAACATCATCTTTTACTGAAAGCATGTTTGGCTGCTTCTGCTTCTAATACGCAGAAAACGCGTCATTGAAAGCGATGCAGCGAGAGCTCACGTCTTGCGATGGGACCGCAGAGTGTCTTTCACAGCATGATAGACCTTTGGTTACCGAAGTCAACAAGCTCGAGAAAAATGCACAAAGTCCGGCTACTGAGACAGCCTTTTCAAGGTTATCAGAAGACAATACCCGTCCTCAATATCCTCTCAAAAAGGAGAGAAATTATGGCAAAAGGAGTGTTGTCACATGAGTGACAACCACCGCCAAAGACCTTCAGATTTTGCATGATGTTGATTTTGATTTACCGTCTGTCTCGTGTTTGACCCGATTACTTTGTTGATGGTAATCAGAAGGGGGTCCCCACGTTAGCTGCAGTCGGAAGTGCCAGTGGCCCAGACGCGTAGAATCCGGTTCCAGCGCCGACTTCGGCACTGCGACCTGGAAGGTGACTTCAACAATTGGTGAAGCTCCAAGAAACTCGTTCACTGACATCTCCTATCAAAGAACTGCACTGCTACTGTTGAACCATAATATTGGCAAATGGGTTCGCCGGAGCTATGCTTTACAAAATGGGAAAGTTCACTTTATCCAGGCATCGCTCGTCAGTGGAAGAAGCAAAAGCTCAGCAAATGTCCCCAACCCCATTACAGGAAGTTCTGTCCCACCGTTGCGTTCAGCAGACCCAGGACTAAAAGAGCTTCACCTCCTTGCGCTGATGTCAAATCATCGAAAAGAGGGAGAGCCTGATGATCTGGACCTAGTCGAAGTGGAGTTCTCTAGGGTTTTTTCATCAGAAGTTGAGTATTTCTAAACAAACGGAATCCACGAGCTACCGCTAAAAGGCAACATGTTGGCGATTATATTGAGGCATATGTATATTTGTAAATTTCTCACTAACGTAAGCTAAGGAAGAAAAGTCAATTAGAATGAAAGTCGTAAAATGGGCAAAGGCTTCCCCGACAACCTAATATATGAGCGTTTCAATGCCATCCTTCATGATTGTATAGCTAGGTTTGTGCCTCTGTCCTGGGTTCCCCTGTCCCCGGTCGCATTTGTCGGCGTATTTATGCCGTATATACCGTAAGAGGACGGAGGATTGGGTAGCTGCCACACTGAGCGATACCCCAGGGCTCTGGGGTATCGCTCAGTGTGGCAGCTACCCTCGCGTTCCGAAAGAGTACTGTTATGTTTGAACGTAAACTTTGGCAATATAAGAACTCTGTTGAGAAAAAAATCATTGAGTCCAAAGATGAAAATGCATTTTTCAGGCTGTTCAGTTCAAGACTTTGTCGTAAGCCCGAGATGGGATGCCTGAAGGGTGATGACGGCACGATATTCTGTAGCGATTATGATTAAGCTGAGGTTCTGACCAGTATTTTCGAGAAGTCCTTCATGCCTTCCAGCACTGAGGTTATCACCGATCTTTCGGATCTCAAAATGTTCCCGGTAATGTCTGACTCATTGTGGTTTTATAAAGAGTTTATTTTATCTCTTTTGTTGCATTGGCCTGCGTCTTATTCGGTAACACCCGATGAATTACCTTTACCGTTCATAAAAAAAGTAGCTGTCGTCATTGTGGGCCCACTTCAGTATATTTTGAATTTGTGCCCCATGAAAGCCCAGGTTCCTCATAGATGGACAGTGGCTTACGTGACATCGACCCCGAAAAAAGCAGCTCATGATTGTTCTGGCTATGACCGCCCCATAAGCATCACCTCCACTTTCGCACGAACATTCAGAAGAATTCGAAGAGGTCCATATCAGGAAACACTCAATACTTTCTCATCTACAACACGGCTTTTGAAAGAATAGTCCACAACGACAGCCATGCTTCAATCTCTCAATGACTGGACTATTTATCTAGATGACGGGGTCTGCGTAGATGTCGTCTTCTAGGATTTTTCAAAATTGTTTGACATTGTGGACCATCAAAAACTGCTAAGCTTTCTCTGATAGGAGTGCGCTATCGCATCGCGAGCTGGATCCACGCCTTCTTATAGATCGCAGGCTCATGGTTTTAGTCAACCGCACCTTATCCTCCACGTCAGGCCGCCAGTGGCGTTCCCCAGAGCGGTGTGTTGTCCCCCATATTGTTTAACATCTAAACGTGCAAGCTGCCACACTTCATTACTATTGTTGTGTCCAATGCGTTGCTTTTGCTTATTATGTCGAACTATACTGTGCGATAAAATTTGATACTGACTGTATTCGCCTTCGAGAGTCCATTGACGAAGTGAGCAATTGGTCTGCCGAATGGGCCCTTCCTTTATTCAGTGAAAAACTACTGTGTTGCATCTTACAGTTAGTTCCCGGAACAAACTGTTCACTTATACACTCCAGCGCACCCCCATCAAGAAGGTATGCAGCAAAAAGATCTAGGTTTCATCGTAACGAGAAATTTTTTCTTGTGTGAATATACTGTCAAGAAGGTCACCACCGTGGTGTATAAGCTGTGCCGTGTTATTACAACCAAAAACAGTGCAATGCTTCTACACGCTTTCAAGACGTATCTTAGGTCCGTACTGGAATGTGGTATTCCTGTCTTGGATCCGCATAAGGTTGAAGTCATTTCAATGATTGAGAAGGTGCAAAACTCCTTTACACGCAAATTGATGGTCAGAGTATTAGGTTTCTTGTACGACGGCATACCGTCTAGCGAAGAGAGGAATAAAAATCTGCAGTTGCACTCTCTTTGCTACAGGAGGAGGAAGCTTGACCTTATACTATTCCATAGAATTCTCAATGGCAGTCCGGTCTTATTCCTGACCAGTTCTGCGTCCTGCGGCAGGCGGTATCCAGAGGTGGTCCCATGAACCATGAGTCGAATTCCACGTGCGAAGCACAATTTGAGATTTCATTTTTTGTATACTCAGAGTGGGACAGATTACTTCAAACTCAATAGAACTGAAGTTTTCCCTAATGGTATTGACTTCTTTAGGAGCATTATGGACAAGTTCTTGGTTCCGTAGAGTCCGCCCGTTTAACTGTTGTTGTTTTTTGTTGCGGTTGTTCTTGCGATTAAGTTGTAATTCATGTTGATGTTTGTTCGTCTTACAACTCTACATGAGATAATTCTCATGTAATAAATATATATGTAATATAAGTACTGATCGGATGGTTAGATCAGTCGCTTTCCGGCGCATAGGGTGAAGAACTGTGCGCTTCAATGGAAAGCACGCGACGGAGCCGTACGATGCCGCATCTCTACTCAAAGTGACTGTTACGAAGAGCGGAGGGTAGGGGAGGCGGGGATGGCATCGAGACCTTTCAAGGGAGTAGGGGTCGTAAGACTCTCGAAATCGGAAATTATCAAGGCGGTAGATAAGAGCGAGTGTATGTCACCAGAGTCGTTTGGGCCCTGTGCTGCTGATCATGACCGCAACGTTGCAGACGAGTTTTTGTGTGCGTCATCCTAACAGTACATTGGAGGATTGCTCTGCGAACCCGTCTCTTCAACATCCAACTTCAGTCAATGCGCGCACAGTCGCAATTACTTCAAACTTTTTTCTTTTTGTGTTTTTCAATATTACTACTGCGAAATCAAAAACAATTTAGTTCACGACACTTTCTAAATAAAACCAGAGCATGGGAGTTGGAATTCGGTATCCGCGCCCCACAAAACTATTGTGGACTGCAGGAAATTCGCTGCTCCCACTGTCAAATCCAAAAATCCCGCGCCGAAACGACTGCAACTAGAAGCACATGTATAGGCAATGCTTTGCAGATAATAGAGGTTTATGTTCAGACCAGTTTAGCTCCGCACACCACCGCGTGCATGGCATCGAAGGCTTCGGTGAAACTGGGCAATCGGTGGAGGGTCAAATTCTACCGGTACGAAACAAAATTCTTCGTGAAATGCGTTAGCTGACTGTTCGCTTGATACGCACGGTGGATTGCGGAGCTAAAGTGATGTCTGTAAACAACCACCATGCATCGAATGTCAAAGTAATTTAGCGGTCGAACAATCTTCAATACTACGCATGTTGGAATCTAAATACCCGGCACTCATTATCATCTTTCTTAAAACATCCATCGGACATTTTTTGGAACTTGGGGGAGTGTAGCGGCCGAATGGAAATTTTGCTGGAGACAACAACGCAATGAATGATATGGAAGTGAACTGCGCTATTTCAAATGTGTTTTTAGCTTATCTCCACAGTGGTACACATATCGTTGTTATCAGCCCTTATTGGCCGTTATCACTTTCTGTCCCCTACCAAACATGTTTCTGTCCCACCCTGTACATCCCTTCAGGAAACCAACACCCCACTGCTGCTGGAACGCGAGCTATGGATTTCATGGAATTGCGTTCTAGCGCCTCTTATCAACTCTTATCAGTCGTTATCACTTTCTGTCCCCCACAAACATGTTCCGTCCCACCCCCTATATCTTGTCCCAGAATCACTTCTGACGACTGCTGTGACGTGTGCTATGAATTGCCTACACACACACACACACAGAGACGACATAGTGTTTTATATATAACCAGTTTTGCTCCGCCCGCTATCGCGCGCATCACACGACAGGCTTTAGCGAAACTGGAGGACCCATGGAATATCAGCATAAGGTACTCCATTAACCATCTCGCTATTGAATGTGTTAGACCTTTCCCAGTTTCGCTGAAGTCCATCGAGGAAACGCGTGATAACGTCTGGGGCTGAACTGGTATGTATCTCACAACTATAAACATCCAACATTCTTCGTGAATTCAGATATTTTAGCGGTGAATGGATTGCTGTCAATCTCAAAATCAAAGAAATATGCCTACTTACATAAGTGAGGAGCTAAGGCTAATCATTCATTTACATTCACCATTATTTACAACCCCGAAAGGATTAGCGGTTCAATGAGTTTGGGCTTTCTCGATAGAAATGACAGTTATCATTTGCTGAAGACTTAACTGACGAGGAAAGGTCACCAGGCCGGTCCGGCCCTTTGCAGTGAGGTGTGTACCTATGCATTCGTCTTGAGACGATAAGCTCGAAACCGCTTTTCTCATCTGCTAAACGGTGCTCTGAACGGAGTTACGGAAGTTTTCCCATCAACACTGTACTTGAACGCAGTATATGAGCGCTACCATTGGAGTCGCCACTATAAGCCAAGCGGGAAGGTGCACGTCGTGGCCGACGTGGCGTAAGTGGTAACGGTCCAGACTTGTAGGTGAGAGGTCACGGGATCGGTCCCTCGTGGTGTTTGTTGTTCTGCCTTTTCGAAAACATGACCAGAAAGGCTTCTAGCGACATTTGCCTATTATTGCCTTTACCTGCCTGTGTAAGGAATTAGGGAGCACCTCTGCGCAGGTTGAAAGCTATTTGGAATTAATATTTGCCATAACTGAAAACGACGCTCATAGCCCACATGGTAAGGTGTTTTTTCGGTAAACGAGTATATGATATTCGTGTTCACGAGACCGAATTGCCCCTGGTTACAAGTTTCCAACTGAATTTGAGATTTTGACCTACACTCGAGAAAGGGCAGTCAACATACAGTCAAACGAGAGAAGGTATGAATCGAAACTAACTGGAAAAGCACCTTCACTGATTTTTGATGCAGAGTCATGTAAATCATTTCCATCGTGCGGAAATATGAGCCACTGAACGTTTCTCTCTTCGAAATCTTGGTTTGAGAGCAATTTTCATGCAAAGTGTTCAACGATAGGTTGATGATATGATGGTTGCTTATTGCTTAATCACCTCATTTTTTAGGGTTGGGTCAAAATCTCAGATTCGGTGGGAAACTTATCTCCGAGGTAGTTTGATCTTCTGAACACGAATATCACGCCTATTTGTCGCGAAAAGCCTGACACTTACATTACGGGCACCATGTTTATACATGGACGACTACTGCCCAAACCTGCAAGGAACTGCTCGAAATTTTTTCGTACAGGGAACTAACGGCAAGTTTTATAAATTAAGAACTTAGAAGCTTTCTGGCTACATCTTCACGAAGCACAAAAGAAACAGACTCTCCAAGGAGCTGTTCCCACGACCTCCTGTTCGCGAGTTCGGGGCACTCCCACTGCGCTTCCTTGCTTTATAACTACGTTCAGAGAATCGTTCAGCAGATAAGGAAGGCAGTTCTGAGCTCAGCGCCTCGAGGCGACTTCAACGGTATACGACTCACCGCAAATGGCCGGACCAGCCTGTTGACCTTCCATCGTGAGTTTATGCAATCGACTGCTATTAGGTAAGCTGTCATACAATGATACAGTGTGCACCTACCACTACAAATAGAATTTGCAAGTAGGGACGCTCTAGTGTCAGCGCTAACGGGATCGACGACTTTTGCGTTCTGACGCGCCTTATCAGCCTTTATCAGTTGTAACCACTTTCTATCACCAACCAACAATATCCCCCCCCATCCCACATAACGCTTGTAAGTATGGATGCTCTGGTGCCAACGCGAGCTGGGTAACGGAATTGACGACTTTTGCGCTCTGACGCGCT